AGATTAAGAAAAAATTTCTACATTGAGTCTTAGGACAATATTGGAGGGAGACATCAAATCACAGCTCTCTCACCTTGAACTCTGAATCCTTACAGAAGAGGCAAGGGTCATGGTCAATGATTCTGGACCGTTTGGCACAATCCAGAAAGCAAACTAGCAACAGCAATTTTTTCAGTGTGAATTTTGACAAAGCTTCTTCATGACCTAAAAACATAGAACCTATTAAGTAATATTTCAAAAGTTAAGTGCTAAAAATAACCTAGTTTTCGAACTACTAGTTACCTTCTCGGTAAAGGTGAGGCACAGTGGGATGTCTGTATTCAGCTGCAATGTCAGGGTTCCAAAGCAAGCGATTAAGGATAAATATTGCTAAACCCATAACATCACTATTACTCTCCAAAGCTATCAGTTCTCCATAAACAGTCTAATACGAAAGGAGGGGAAAAAAGCAGAACCGTTAAAAATTAGCTTAAATACGATGAGGTTTTTTTGAATAACATATATTGCTGAAATTCTGAAGCAGTAAATGGTAATTATTTTATAAAAATGATTCAGTTTTTCAAATCAGTCACTGAAGGGTAAAACCAAAGAAAAATTCAGAAGATCCAGTCTCATTTCAAAACATGTATGATCATTTGCATCCGAGGCATCAGTCGGGAACTTCCTTACGACAACAGCATTTTTCTCCAGTTTAGTAAAGAGTGAAACCGATAGAAAACTGCTTTTGTGTTATTGGTCAGGGAGTTAACTTCCATTTTCCTTGACTAATTATTTTCCTTTTTAATAAGGTAAGCACTTTTTTAAAGCAAGTCTGTTGTAATAGTTTAAAAGAAATGTAAATATGCTATAACCAAATTGAACCTTCCTAAATTAGTAGAACAGAAAATATGAAGAAACCCTAAACATCCCCTACTAAAAAAAATTGCTAGATGTCCTTTAAACTTTAATTATAGATTTATATTATTTATATTATATTATTATTTAATTATAGATTATGGTTATAATATATAATTATAAACTTTAATTATATTCCTGCACTTACCTCCAGGCCTATACGTAGCCACAAAGGGTTGTAAGATAAAAGCCAGTTAAGGACTTTCTGCCTCTCTCCTGCAAGAGAGCAACTTGTAACATTACTTCCAGCACACACTTCGTATTATGACAGAAAACTTCAAAAGTTTCTATCAACTGATTTTAGATCAAATCAATTTAGTGTGTGAATAATCCTTTTTCTACTCAAAAGAGAGAATGCAAAGTTCTTACCAACATCTTTCCAGAGGTGTCTGTCTCTACGAACTAGCAAACGTCGACTTTCGATCTCAACTTCTAGCTTCTTAATAGCTTTAACCATTGTTTCAGATGTAAACAAACGGCAAGCATCACGTCGTAACTTATTCAGCTTACGATGAGCTGTGTAAGCTTTTAGAGACACTTCATCTTTTGTTGGTGCTTTAGGAACACTGGTTTTATGATGGTTCTCTTCTCCCAAGATAAGAGCAGCTGCATTTACTGCTTAAACACACACAAAAAGTAAGCATTTACATCTCAAATAAAGGTAGCTTTGCCCATCTCATTTAATTTTTTCCTTTCTAAGTTCACATTTTGTTATTTTCCTTCTAACTAATGATTTTAATCCATCAGGAAGTTTATCAACTGTTGCACTAAACATATATTGCCTACATGTATATTAGTCAAATATTTAATATAACAATACGTATTTCATAGGAAAGCAGTGCTAGGAATTCACTTTTAAGATCAATTACACCATCTTCAGTTTTTTTAGACTGAAGCTAAAGATAGAGGAAAAAGTACACTACCATAATTTTGGTAAAGTGACAGCTATAATGTTTTTCAGCAGGTGGGGATTCCCCAACTTGACACCCACTAAGGACCGCTGCAGCCACACATTCCAGTGTGTATTTCTTGTTCCAGACCACGCTCCCTATTCACGTGCGTGGTATGTTGGGCTTGGCACGAGCAAGCGTGCCATCCACACTTACCACAAGGGGAAAATATGACTCTGAAAAGGGTTAGACGGCTATAAAATTCAGTCTCCAATGTGAGAACTGCTTTTGGTTTAGCATATTCCACATTTTCTAGCGTAATGGCCACTGAAAGACATTACCAGTACTAAGTCAAAGGCTAGAAAGGGAAACACAAGTGTTACATAAAAATTAAAACCCAAAAATCAACTCTTACATAAGAGCTTAATGTTACACAAACTAAAGTGACAAGCTGGGACTAGTGTTAAGTTAGTACTGCTTACTATTCATTATTATTAATAAAGTACCTTATATCATGTTTACGAACATTAAAAGACAAAGTGAAAATTCTTGTACTCTTACCTTGTAAGGTGTTTGTTTTTACACTGAAGTCATCAGGGGTAAGTACAAAATTTAACCACCATGTGAAACCTCGTTGCTGCTTCTCTTTCCAACGTTCATCATAAAACATGTTTTTAGCAGCAAAAGGCATTGGGTGCCTAGGGATGACTTAAAAAAAAAAAAAAAAA